TTAACATCCCATATGCGGATAGACTTATCATAACTACCAGATGCTAATAAAGTGCCATTAGGAGAAATTTCGATTGAATTAACAATATTAGAATGGCCATACAATTCATTTAACTCACTTATTTTTATATTCTTCCATTTGCAATTTAACAATAAAGCTTAATTCAAGTTCATTCCACTAATATCTACATTATCAAATTCTGATTCGCTGAAATTGCATCTTACAAAATTTCCACCAACCAATGAAGTATCTTTAATTCTAATATTCTCAAAGCTTAATTCTCTCAAATCCACCTTCATTTTGACTAATAAATTGAGTGAATTGGATCCACATTACAAAAATCTCTCATCAATTCCTGTCAGATGTACTAGGAATTTCAAAATTCAATAATGTGTTAATCATAAGATATTTGTTTTATCAATCCCTTTCTCATTAATTCACAGTTCTCAATTGAATAATTTTTGTTATTAAAGTCTAATTCACTCATATTTTACATCAAATTTGCAATATATTTATATAGAGTTTAATCTTTACTTTTTTTAGAAAAAAAATCTAAACAATTGGTAATTTTTTCTTTTTTCAGCATTTTAATTAACTCATTAAGGAAGGATCCATCAATATTCTTTGTCTATTATAATACCTCATACAAATCTTCATTTCTATTATAATCTTAAGCAATTTAGTTAAATGATTTAACATTCTCTTAACAATTATCAGGATTTTTTATTAATTGCATAATTTCCTTCATTTCTTTCTACAATTTTTCGCAAAAGCCCTTCGTTTCCAATTCCCAATAATTCATTGCCATTTCCAACCTATTCAACTAAGACTATTTCAAAATATTCCAATCCTCTAAAACATTCCCCATAATAATTTAAACTAATTTTTCCAATTCAGTATATGATAATTCTGTTGGATCGATATTGGTTATGATTTTCAAATTCTATTTATCTTCCATTTCTAATAGATCATATATTTGATAAATTGATTCGAATAATTAATCCCATATTTCTTTTAACATGCATTATGTTTTAGAAATCATTGATTTAAAATTCCTTCTATGATTTTCTATTTCAAGTTTATTGAAACTGTATGTTTTTTAAAATCCACTCCATGTTCATAAAGGCATTCAATACATAATTTCCTTTAACATTTACACTTGTGAGAAGCAATACAGATCATTTAAATGTAATTATCAAGATGAAAAGTGCACTTCTTTAACTTTAAAATAATATTAAATTTCTATTACTTTTGCGGTTGAAATTTATACTAAAAAAAAGTACTTACAAATGTTTTTTTTAAGGTGTAAATTAGAGTTCGGACTGCTCAAATAGGTTTGGTTAATAATATCTTAGAAGGTAACCTTCTTATTATGTGACACTTGAAGTTAAAAATCCCGAGGCAAATTCCTTCCTTCTAGTGGAAGCCCAACTGTTTTGCTTGACTCGTTCTGCCTGTTGCTAATATAACCTACCCTGGAGTGTGGAGGCAAATCACTCTGGGAGCGCAAATGGTTTTGGATACTATATATATTCTATTTATAATAAAATTGCAAATGGTTTTGGATACTATATTTATTCTATTTCTAATAAAATTGCCCTATTATCTAGTCCTCTCGTCTAGCAATTGCGGTATTATAATGATAATGATTCAATCGGGCTCAGATCTATTAGTTGGTCGATGCGATTAATGACAGGAAGTTTTCAAGATTTAAAAAATCAACTATGTAAAGATGAAGATTAAATATATTTGTGATGAAATATAGATTGAATCTCATATAAATTCAGTTTCAATTACTTTAAATTACTTGACGTTGGATAAAATATTAGATCTAATTACCAAAATCATGAAATTAAAGTATAGCTTTTTAGGATATAGAATTTAGCCCTTTAATTAGATTTAAACTATTAACTTCATGTCTCAGATTCTTAATATTAAGGTAACCTTTCACTTAGGAAGTGATGAATTTAATCAGCTGATCAAAGAGTCTTATAAATATTAATGATACTTTTTGTTTTCGTACTTTTTAATAATACTCAATCTATAGTACAAAAATAAAAGTTCAAATTAACAAAAATCTCTCTCTAATAATTTGAATATATATAATCAATACTATTATTATTGATAGAAATAATATTTGGTAAATAATTGGCATATTAAATTGTGCAAAGTAGTTATTTTCATCCATAAAATTTTAAAGCTTAAACACTTTTTTCGAAATTAGATTATTTTAAACCATTCTCTAAAATAAAACTACCTTTTTAGATTTAAATAATGATAGTAAATCATATCCTTTCTGATCAACAAACTCTCGTTTCAAGATTAAAGCTCCTTAAGCATCTAAGTTGGGATTGTAGGACATTTTTAGAATGATAATATAATAGGGGCTAAGAATAGTGAAAAACAAATACCACTTTAGGGAAGAATATTATTTTAACTATGGCCATCTAATTTATATACTATTAAACAATTAAGCTTAATTCAAGTTTATTCCACTAATATCAACATTATGAAATTCCTACCCATTTAAGTTGCACTTTGCGAAATTTCCACCAATCAAATTAGTATCTCTAATCCTAATATTCTCTAAGGTTTATTCCCTCAAATTCACCTTCATTTTGACTAATAAGTTAATTGAGTCGGATCCACATTAGAAAAATCTCTCATCAATGGATGTCAAAAGTACAAGAAATTTTAAAAATTCAATAATAACCCTATCATAAGCAATTTATTAAATTAAATCCTTATGTTATTGTTCGAATATCTCAGCCGAATAATTCTTCTTATGATAGTCGATTTCACTAAGATTTTTAGAATTTTAATTATCAACTAAAAGTCGCCTTTGAATCAGCTTTCTCTTCCATATAGAATTAATTGTTATTCTAGTCTTCCTAGTGTTTTTAAAGAAATTATATACTATTTATGTTTTTCTAATTTCTCAATAATTCTAGAACTCCATTAAGAAATTATTAATCAATATTTTTTGTTAAAGATAATACCTCATATAAGTCTTATGATTGTTCATAACAATACTCTATTTCAAAAATACGACCTTTCATGTCCTTATTCAGCTTTTCAAAATGGTTCTTATTTCCATAAATTCTTTGTAATTTCCAACTTTTTCAATTTAAAATTTTTCTAAGAGTAAACTAATTTTTCTAAATCAGTATTTGACAATTCTAGAGGATTATCATTGTTTTTAATCAAATTCATAGAATTTTTCTTCCTTCTCTAGGAAATCATATATCTGTTTTATTGATTCTTCAATTCCATCCCAAATTACTTTAAACTTATTTTGAGTTGATGTAAGCAATGTTTTAAAATTCAACCTCTATTTTGCTAATTCAGATGAATCATTAAACTTAGAGTCTTCGAATTTCTTTCTCATCATATCTTAAAATTTTATTATTGAAACCATGCATTTTAAATCCACTCCATGTTCCTCAATACATTCAGCACACAATTTCCTTTAGCTCTAACACTTGTGATAGGATAGACAGATCATTTATAATTCATATTCTTTTAAAAATAATATTGAATTTCTATTACTTTATTTTGAGTTTTATACTATAAATCAAAAAAAAAGGTATCTTGCAAATTATTGTTTGGTAGAAATTCAATATCACAAAGATTTAAGGCTGATGTAAATTATACTATGGAATCTTAATGAATAGAGAATAAAAATAACACAAATAATTCAAAACACTAATATATGACTTTAATTATTGAGAATTTATGAGTTAATGTATTCTATTTATTCTAAATCATAATTGTTCAAAAATATCAATACAAAGTGGTTACTTCTA